TTAGATTTAATATTGTAACTGTTTGATATCTATTCACTACTCAGAAATAAATCACTTTCATTGTTAAACTGGTTGCTTCTCTCTCTTTCTTTCTCTTTTGCTCACTCTTCCTTAAGGGGTGTTGTTTTGGCTTCCCCATTCGCTCTACAACAACGCTTCTTGTACCCAAGCTAAAGATCCCTTTAGTGCCCAAAATCCTGTTGGGTTTGCTCATCGTGTGGTTTACCAGTGAATGACTGTGGTGTGAAAGTGGGGATAGGGGGTGCTGAACCTGGGGGCTTATGAGGATGGCAGCTTAAAGTGCTGTTTAATCCAGCCCACGGAGTCCAAAGGCACATGAGGGTGCAGTGTGGCATTGCTGTGAAACCCAGCCAGCTGAGTCCAGGGACATATGAGGGGGTCAGCTTGTGAGTGCTGAGTACCCAGTCCTCTCAGACGTGCTCTGATTAGTGGGTGTGAGTGTCTGTGTGTGTTGCCAAGGTGGTAAGAACCCCATCCTGAGGAACCTAGTTCCTGCAGGAGAGCTCCAGTGGGAGGGGGAATTGGCAGCAGGGAGAATTCAGCTCCATATGAGAGCACAAGTAAGCACCAACAGCACACTAATAGAATTGTTAACCTTCCCCCAGTCCCATAAGGTAACCCTGATAAATGAGCATACCCAAGAGTATTGGGCAAATCTGGTAACAATTTCCAAGGCCCCAGCTCAGGGCTTTAATCACTAGACTATTCTTTATTGCCAAAACAACAAAGCTGGGTCAGCAAAAGCAAGAACCCTCCTGAACGCGCAATGGGTCTAGTAACAGGTTGCCTCAATGACGTGTCGTAGCCAAGCCACCTTTGAGGAGTCGAAAGTGTTTTCTATTTGCAGTGAAACAGACTTTAACTGCAGCAAGTGTGGCACATACGAGTTTGAGAGTCTTGGTGTCAATTTAAATGGGAACCGGAACCAATCACATGAGCTTCTACTCAGGGATGTTGCCACAATCAGGGATGAATTGTTAGGAGGGGACAAAATCCAGCCTGGATTTTCCCTGCACTTAAGAAATAAGATGCCAGTATCCCTTGTGATGGTATGTGTGGACATCATTAGCCAATGCTATGCTCTTTGCCCATGAATGTTTAGGTGCATTCCAGACTGGATGGTTATGGCTGGAGATGAGATTACCCATTGCTGCTTTGGGTGCAAGAAAGGTTTTCCTATAAGAGCTACAGTCACCTCTGTTCCTGTATGGCTGCAGTGGATGCCCATTGGAGCATAATCGCATGATCTCATCTCATGTGCGCAGACCAATTTTATGGGCAATGATCACACAGAGGGGGCAGTAATAACAAATCACAATGCTTAGCCTATAGCAAGCTTTCAGCTTTCTGTGCAAACAAAAACTGATTAATCCTCACCCCACCCTGTGAGGTAGGCAGGTAGAATTGTTTCAATTCTGTGCATGTGGAAACTGAGGCAGAGAGCAGGTGAGTGATTTATCCTGTGACTCATTGAAAGACCCAAGTCCAGAACTCAGATGCCCTTGGATTCCAATACCATACTCAGGCCACTAGAGTCCTTACACACAAAAGCTGAAGACATGGGTGGCAGCAGGGCTGGCCCACAACATTTTGGCACCTGCGGCGGGGAGCTCAAACGACGCTCCATGTCCCCTCGCTTAGGCCAAAACTTTGAAAGGTCTCAATTCTCTGGGTCCTAGTGGTGCCCCCCCTCCCAGTCTGGCACCTGAGGTGGCCGCCTCGGTTTGCCCCATGGTAAGGCCAGCCCTGGGTGGCAAGTGTCTTAGTGCTCAACCTCTCCCTTCTTCCTATCCCTATTCTGATGGTTCCTGAAGGCTCCCAAAGCAGGCTGCTGCTACTTGCAGACCCACACTTCCCCCAAAATGGATCTGTTAACTTAAAAGTGAAAAGCCTTCCAGCTTGCCAGACCTATTAGCGTATCATTGAACCTGTGAAAGAGCCATTAAGTGGTAAGGAAACCATTTAACGGGCATGTGCCAGTTACTGATAACATAGGTGTGCATTACTATGTCTACATGACCTAAGTGTAAAATGTATTGTAAACTACATTTTATTAGTTTAAATTAAATTTCATTAGTTTGTCACTGAAGATTGTAAAATCACATCTCTAAAAAATCCTTGCATAGATATTTAGATGCACAATCTGAGTATTAAGCTTTAGTCTTAAATGCTTGTATCTTCAGACATATAAATGCTTCAAAATGTAACCCACAAACCTACTGGGTGTGCTGTACTGTCCCATCTAATGGTAATGAGACCTCTTACAGAGGGAGATCTACACTAGGAAATTATTTTGAAACAACTTATTTCTAAATAATAACTCCCAAAATAACTCT